TGAGCAGCACTAAAAAACGTTGGCTCCTTTTTATTCAGAAGACAGATCCCGGAGGATAATAAAAGTCGTTCAATAACTCCACCACGGGAATCCTGACGAACACTGCCCCACAAAGGGTGGTGGGCGTTAAAATCGCCTAAAATTAAAAAAGGCTTAGGCAGCTGATCTATGAGTCCTTGTAGCTCGTGGAGCTGCAATGGAACGTTGGGTGGCAGGTAGAGAGAGACGAGGGTGATGAGTCGGTCAAGGAGAACGCGAACTGCTACTGCCTCGAGTGGTGTTTGTAGAGGAACCTGAGCACACACAATTAACCCCGCTCTGCACTACTACTGCGACACCACCAGAAGGGTTAGGAGAAGGGCGGTCCTTCCTAAAAACCTGGTGACGGCGTAAGACCTGTGTGTGTTTGTCATTCAGATAGGTTTCCTGTAAACAGAGTGCCACAGGGTGAAGCTCATCGAGAAAAAAATTAACGTCGTCAATATTACGAAGAAGGCCGCGGCAGTTCCATTGCATGATACCCAATTGTTTACTCATAGCAGTGCTAAAATTAAAATAAACTTTAACTTATAAACTGCAAGAATGGGTAAAAATGGGTTACTAAGGTTTAAAATCAATTTTTATGCGAGGAGCATTTTTCTTTTTCGCGCAATCATTCTGCTTCCCACTAGAGGTAGTGGGAGCAGCCAGGGAGGACTCCGATCCCGAGAGGATAGCCTCGTCGTCGGATCTGAGCCCACACTCTTCCATGGGCTCTTCCGGTGGTGTCGTCAGTTGACCCTTTGGGTCAACTGCTTCGACGTCTCACCGGGCTACCTCAGGGCAGTGGTTCGGGGTGGCTGGCCCCGGCCCCGGGGGAACGCAGAGGCAGGGGGGGCCAACCCCTGCTCTGGGGTGAATGCTGACGGGCCAGCACCCTCCCTGGGTTTGGAACGTGGTGCCGTTGGCACCGTTCCCATGGGTTTGGATGGGGACTCTGCCGGGACCCGCAGATCGTCTGGAGACGTCTGGGTTCCCAGCGATGCCATTACTGGACGTGCAGGTCCCCTACGCACGACCTCGGCATATCCGCCTTTCGCCAAGAAAGAAAACCGTTTTTTTGCTTCATGGTAGGGAATATTTTCCTTTGCCTTTAGAGCAAGGCCTTCTTTCTCTTGCTTCCACAATGGACAGGAGCGGGAGTATGCCGGGTGCGGACCGTCACAGTTTGCGCATTTTGGACTGTTCTCACAAGTGTCAGCAACATGCTCTCTGCTGGAGCACTTGGCGCAAGTGTCGGCTCCCCTACAGCTCCGTGACCCATGGCCGAACCGTTGGCACTTAAAGCACCTCTGAGGGTTCGGCACATAGGGCCGTACACGGCACCGTAGGTAGCCAGCCTTCAGAGTTTCTGGTAGTGTAGTCGAATCAAAGGTCAGAATGACGTGTTTGGTTTTCCGTTCAACGCCGTCTCGGCGGATGGTGATGCGGCGTGCAGCTACCACCCCTTGGTCAGAGAGGCCCTCAACGATCTCTGCCTCAGATGTTTCAAGTACGTCATCCTCAGAGATGACTCCCTGTACGGTGTTCAGCTTGCGATGAGGTGTTACACTGACTTTGTAATCTGCGACGGAGTTCGAAGCTAGGAGAGCTTCACTTTGTTTTATTTGTATTAGTTTCGACAAGAAGGTCACCTGATGCCATCTTTTTGGCATTAAAATGTATTCCAATAATACCTTCAAGCACCTTTGATACGAGAAAGGGGGATAATTTTGCAAGTGGTTTTTCGTCCTCTGAGTGAAGTACTAGAAACTTTGGGAATTTTATAAATTCAATACGCTGTGCAGGATGGTCTTTAACTTCGGTGCGGACCCTTTTCAGGGCCCGATCAGTGTTTTTTTGTTTGGAACCCATAAAGATGGGAAGGGAAGTTCAGTGCCCGGGTGCACCGCACCCGGGCACTGAACTGCCCGGGTGCACCGCCCACCACGGAGCCCAACAAGGGGGTAGGTAATGTGCCATAGCAAGAAAGGCTTGGCTGACACAATTACACTACCAGTGCTGCCCGGGCACTATACTCTAGTGTGGTTGCAGGGACAGGACCTGTTTCCACTCAAGGTTGGCCCTTGCCGCCTAAGAAGGTGAAAAAGGAAGGAAGAGAGTGTAGAAGAAAAGAGAAAGAGGTGGGAGGAAAAGTGAAAGAAGGAAGAAGAGGGTAGAAGAGGCGACTGACTGAATCATCCTGGTCGGGCCAAGCCAGGACACCCGTCTACGAGAAGCAGAGGTCGAAGCGGTGTATTGCCTCGCCCGGGGGGCCCCGAAGGGTCCAAACATACCCCGGGCTCAGCTCAACCACCAGGGTCCCCTTTTCCCCGGACACGGGTTAAGCCACGCACAGCCAGGCGTGGGTGGGTAAACTCACATGGCTCGGGGTTCGCGGTGGCGCCACTCACCAAGCACCTACCAAGGCAGGTGCCCCTGCGTGTGGGTATGGTGGCCCGCGTGGCTGGGGTCCGTGGTGGCGCTACTCACCAAGCACCTAGCACCAAAGGTGTAGGCGCCCCCTGCGGGGAGTCCACAAACAAAATAGCTTTTCTGATATTGTTGCCTAATATATATTCAATAATCATGGGCACGCCATAAAGTTCTGCAGTAAAAATGCTGGCAACAGAGTGAAGCCTTCGAGCTTTCACAAAGTGTTCTGAATATACAGCCGAACCGACAAAGTGTGGAGTTTTTTCACCATCAGTGAAGAATTGTGTATAGTCCTTATACTTAGCTTGCAAGGTCATAAACTCTGGCTCAAGAAGTAGTGGTGCAACAGATCGCTTATTGTATTTCGCTAGCGACCAGTCACAGGTATAGTGCACCGCCTTCCAAAGAGCAGTGCTTCGAACTCTCGTCATCAAGCTACGCTCAGAAAGTTGTGGCTTTCCCCTTTTATGGGGGTACCACTTAGAAACACAGAAGGTTCCTTGGGTCCGGATAAAGACGTGTTTATTTGACTTAGATGCCACACGCTTGCCCGAAGGCCAACAATGTTGGAGATGACAGCGCTGTCTCTTTTGACAGGATCACCAGTCGGAGTCCGCGCTGGCGCTATTGACAGTATCACGGAGGGGGCGGATCAGATAAGGATATGAAGGCTCCGTCGAGCAGAGCCTCCCCCAGCGAGAGTCTGTCAATAGCGGCAGCGCGGACTCCAACTGGTGATCCTGTCAAAAGAGACAGAGCCGTCATCTCCAACATTGCTGGCCTTCCCCTACCGAAAAATCCGGCATAACTTTTCACTATCCGGATTATGGAACCGGAAATTTGTTACCGGAAACCCGAAATCCAGATTGAAGACAAAGGAATAATTTCTGAAAACCTAAATTCCAGATAGACTCCAGATAGAATCCAGATAGATTTCCGGTTCCATAATCCGGATAGCGAAAAGTTATACCGGATTTTTCGGTAGGGTCGGGCAAGCGTGTGGCATCTAAGTCACATAAACACGTCTTTATCGGGACCCAAGGAACCTTCTGTGTTTCTAAGTGGTACCCCCATAAAAGGGGAAACCCACATCTGGCGCCCCAACGTGCGGCCTGTCCGGCAACTGAAAACAAAGCAGCACTCTCGCAATGACAGCGAACCAGGCCAATTTCCGGCCAAGAACTTCGTGGACAGAGGGAGAGGCGAATGCCAAAAACCCGATGCCACTCAACGGCTTTGTGGCCACGCCAGCCATGCACGGACACAATGAGCAAGTGTCCTTTCAGCCGAGATTCCCTAATGGGTATGACTCACAATGCCCGGAATGCAACCGTGGCACTCCTTCTCGGAGCGCGCCAGCCTTCATCGCTGAGCCAAGCCCACCCGCAACTTTCGAAGTCAACACGGGTCCGACGAGACAAGAGACAATGACGCAACAGCAGGCAAATGCAGCTTCCCAGGTGAAAATTTGGAACTGATTCCAGCTGGAAATGAAACTGGAACCAGTTGAACCCAGCTGGAAATTAATAGTTCCAGCTGGAATGATACTGGATCCATTTAGACCATGACCAGTTCCAGCTGGAATGGCACTGGATCCATCTAGACTGGGACCATTTCCAGCTGGAATGGCACTGGATCCATCCAGACTGGGACCAGCTCCAGCTGGAACAGCACTGAATCCATCTGGACTGGGACCAGTTCCAGCTGGAATAGCAATGGGTCCAGCTGGGCTGCATTAATCCCAGCTGGACTGGGTGCAGTCCATCTCTGGATCCAGTTGGATCTCCAATTGGGGGTGGCAAGTCCAGCTGGACTAGGTGTTTCATGTCCACTGGATAGAAATATTATCCCACATTTGCATTGGGGACTAAAGTCAGGCACTCTATACTCGTTTTCACCTCAAGAACCGTAATAAAAAAAGTCCAACTTCTCGCAGAGCATTACTATTTTCCCCTTTATAAGAAATTAAGATATGTGTAAGTGCATTTTAGATCAGATATATGTTATTTTATCAAGACATACACGTTTCAAACACCAAAAGTATGGCTTCTTCCTCTGACAAGCAAATATTGTAAGAACTACTTCGCGCAGCGTATGAACAATGCGCAAAACTTCCTTTTTTCTTGAGGTGAAAACGAGTATAGTCCTCTCAATCAAAAGATAAAAGCTTTTGATATCCTGAAAACTAATACTCAGTGCACTAGTGGTCTCAATGTTTAAACAGGTAGTGCCAGAGGCATCATTCTGCTGGGCAAATGCAACCAGTATGCGCTCTCAGACATAAAACAAATGCATGTAGGAAGCAGGTGATAATATGGAAAAGAATAATGCAGAAGGAAAACCTAAACAACTTGTCAGAGGGAAGCAGGAAGGAGGGGGCTACAAAGAAAATTAGTACCAGAAATGTGTGCTCTCCTCCATTTAATTTTATTTGGAATGTACTATCTCGCGGCAAGTGGCCATGAACCGGAAAAATGCTTGTAGATCGCTTTCTTGTGCAAGTAGCTTTCATGTGTCATGAGGGTTACTAACAAATGAATGACCCATGAAGTCATCCTCTGCAAATCAAAACAATTCAGGCAGAAAACAGACACATGAGATAAACATATATGCAGGTAAAATTATTTATTGAATTCAGAGAAATAGCAGAAATGTAAACCGAAGCAGCCGAAATAAGTCTCCCTTAAAAAAACTTTTAGGTTTATTTTTATACATTGCAATGAGTTGACAAAAGGTAGCATGGGTTTGTGCAACAGGTGGTTGCACAACCACTTGTTGCACAAAGCACTGACATACAGCACCTACTGCTTGAGACAATCCACATCCATGCTACCGCAAGCAAAACAATTGTTATGACGGCCTCACGTAAGGTTTAAGACCACTCATACCTGTTAACGAGATCGCAGAAAAACGCTCTTTGTTCAAGCTGCATGAATATGCATGGCATCATAGTCATGTCAACTTTGTACAGTTTATACTGGGGTCGCTTGGTTGCAGCCTTGATGTGCAGGGTACCTTGGAGGCTGCTCACATAATAGACATGTGAAGAAATAAACAGCTCAGATGTCAGTTCTCCACCAGCAACCTCAATGATGTGGTCTATCTTAGCGTATGTGCCATCTGCTAGTCTGATACCCCTGCAGTCTGTTTTTGTCTGCCTCTCATAGCTGCTACTGTGGAAGGAAACATTATGAATTGACATTCTGTCATACTCTGCAACTGTGGCAGGTCCAGTGTGTGCAACAGAATCAAGAACAAACTTCTTCAGAGATTCACCCACAGATTTTGGCTTTCCCAATGGCAGTGGCAAATTCCTCAGTGATGGCGTGCTGTTTTTTCTAGAAATACAGCTGAGAGTGACGTCACCTGCCAGAGTCTTGTATGCAGTAATGCTATCCTTCAGCATCAACCGTGACATGATTTGAATGGGGACACCGTTTGCAGAAGTTGCTAGCTTGAGAAGCCTACCCATGTTGGTCTCGAAAGAGAAACAGGAATGAGCCCAGAGCGGGCCAAACATTACAACACACTTCGGCAAGTGAAGGAGCTGATGTATGTTGTAAGTCATCTGCTGTTGTGTGTAAAGAAACTGCATCTTTACAACAAATTCTACTAAGCACCCAGTGCTCCTATCTACGTCTTCCTGTGTCACTTTGTCTTTTAGCAAGCTGAAGATGCCTGTCACGAGTAGGCACAAGTGTTCCAAGAAACACTCAGGCAGGATTCCTTGTAAGCAAGGCACACTGAAATACAACAGCCAGTGTTGCCACTCTGCAGCTTTCCAATATTTTCTAAGTGTTAATGACCTTGGAAGTCTGGTGAAGATTTGTGGCGGTCTAATGCTGCAGAGTCGGCCGTCAACTAGAGCTATGGTTCCTGGTTCGCCAATGTAGTATGACTCTCCAGGAGTTGCGAGCCATAGCTCGGTCAGCTGCTTTGCAACCCCAAGCAGTACACAATGCATAAAGTCGGGACTAAACGACCATACAATGTCAAATCCTTTGACGTTGACTAAGGGAGACAACCCCCTTGCTCCCTGTATGCGAGTTCCTTGCTCAGAGGCAGCCGCCATGTCCTTGATCATGCCCTCGTGTGTTCTTTCCTGTGATGGCCCGCCATCCACCGGGTACTTTACAGTCCCTATAACAAACAAGAAATTTTTATAAATTGTGATGTCACATATTGTCATATTAAAAGAAAACTAAAACACTTCTTGAAAAAAAAGAGTGAGAAGTGAGTTATGGCGTATTTTTATCCAGTGAATCTGAATGTTCCGTTCGGTTTCCTGGAAGACGTAACTAAACATGAGAAAACACGAAAAACCTCCGACCAGTCGTGACGTCATGCTAAGATGTGTCGCTCGTGTGGGCAGGGCGTGCAACTGCAAGCTTGCAAGGTATATTCCCCCACACTGATACCAGTCGTGACGTCTCTGACCTTGTTGTGTGGATATTTAGACAGCGTGTAGTTGGTTAGCCATTTCAAAGTTGTGACAAGTCACTCGAAGTAGATGAGAAATTTAGCCAGTGCGGTACAACCGCTAGCCTGGGATCTTTAACATGCACCACGCAGTAGTGGTACACGACCGCACGCCGGTATGATGCTCATCCAGATCGAAACGGGCAGGGGTGGGGATTGAATCCACGATCCCTGGGTTCTGCAGTACGAGCTTTCGCTCCACGTTTTCCTAGCTGGTGTGCGCTAGCCCAATTGGGCACTGATCTCCCGTCTCTGACCTTTCTGAAAGAAAAAAAAACAACAAGAGTATGCGTGCCTAGCTTCGATAGGCTCTGAAAATGCGCGAGAACATATTCCGAAAACTCCTAGTGTGACGTCACACACCTAAGAGGAGGGGCTTCAGTGGTACTATGAAAATTAATTTCTGCAGCCTCCGTGCACCAAAAAGAAAAATAATTTCGATATTTGTGATCCTGGAGGCTCAATCAAGACAATTTAAGCGTTTTTTCCCTCAAATACAGAACCGCTTCAGTTTTCCTTCAAGCATGAGATGCTATTAGGTACAAAACTGCGTCTGTATGGAAAATATTTTTAACTTTTTGGTTCCACTCATCTTGCCTTTCTCTACATAGTACTTCTGTGCACCCGAAGGGCATTTCATAGTCATCCACATTTCACACAGGCATCTCTCAAAAGTGTTTACCTTCAAGATAGCGTAGTGTGCAGGTTTGTAATACTTTATTAGGGAAGTTCATAACCAAGTGAAAGGTTGTATTAAACTCCAATTAATCATGCTAAGTTGGCTGTGTAATAATAAATGTCAACAATTACACTGCAAAGACCTCTAGACACTGAAGTAAGACAGCATTTCCTATTCTCAATATTAAGGTGGCGATGAAGGCGAGTCGTTTATGACTTAAGAAATTAGGAACGGTGCGCAAAAAGACGAGGACAGTGAGAGTAGAGCACAGGATGAGCGCTGAAAAACGGCTCAAACAAGAAAAACGCCACAAAGCGAACCAACGCCTTAACGTAACGCCGTAATAGTTACAACGCGTGTTGGCTTTGGGGTGTTTTTCTTGTTTGAGCCGTTTTTCATATAACTTCACGTGGTAGTCGGCGCTCGTCCTTTGCTCTACTCTCGTTGTCCTCGCCTTTTTGCGCACAGTACTTAATTTCTTATCTCAATAAGTGGTCTTAGCAGTGGCGTCACGAGGGTCAGCGGCACCCGGGACAGTAGCCCGCCGCGACCTCCCCCCCACCCCCCCCCCCCCTTTGTGACGCGACTGGGTCTTAGTACATGTGAACAGCACCCGCTAAGTACTAGGAGTGTTCACTCCGATCAAATATGATCCAGACACTTGCCTCCAACGCAGACTCCAGGGTGGTAACACCAGTTGCATCCAAAGTATCCGTTGTACTGGGTCGACTCCTGCATAGCAGCCCTCGCAGGAGCGTCAGCACAACAGCAAATGCAGAACACCTGTATGTGTTGATAAGTATGTTACCATTATAACACTGTGAAAGTCATTGTTTCAGTAAGATTTGAATGCAATTGGCAGGGCAGTAATATAGCTCCTTACCTTTGAATGAACTACTTCATCCTCAGTCTTCCAGTTAATCCCGCCATTGTTCAGAGTTTGCAGTCCATCGGCAAAAGCTTGGAGCAGCATGGTCATGTTGGGCTTGGTTGCCCCATACCAAAGTACTGGCATCAGCACATTGTTAAAACGGAGCAGTGGTGGCAGCTCGTTGATACTAAGTTGAACGGGCCAAATGGAATATTTGGAGGATTTAAACATGGGGCTGCCATCCGAGTTGACCGTCACTGTGAAGTCTATGTCTGCCATACCCAAATCTTGTCTTTTCTTGCGATACAGTGCACCATCAGTTATGTCATTCATGGACACGTTCGAAGGTTCTGATGCGATTTTGTTCAGGTTTGTATGTAAAGCTGAACTGACTTTCTTGCTGGCAAGAAGTGATGCTAGCTGCTTCTCTACTGGCATGCTTACGAAAAAACAGCCATCTCTGACGAGTTGTGGTCCTCTGTAATGCTGCTCACAGATGGAGCACTTGACGTTTACATTCTTCCTTTTGGAAAGTTCTCCAGAACATTTCGCAACGATCGTCATGCAGTGAGGGCAGTAGAAGTGAAATGTAATTTCTGACATACTTATTCCACAAAACTTCTGAAACAAATACTTGCTTTCGGGAAAAGCCTTAGCTTGCACAAGTTTGTTGACTAGCTTAAGCAACTGCTCTGTATCCGAGTATGACAGGCCTATTGTCAACGCATAGTCCATGACCATCATGAAGGCATCCCCCAGGGTTAAGGGGCCAGAAGGAATGAAGGGAACACTGAACCGTTCTTGGTTTTTTCGAAACCATTCTCCTAGATCCTCAAAAACATGGTCTTCATTTGGATCATCTTGTGCGTCCACAGGATGATTCGCAGAGGCTTCGTCCAGAGTAGCCGAATCGTCTAAGTTCTCCTGCGGCTCAGGAGTCAAAGGTGCCGTCGACGGTATGTCACGCGCTGGAGGAACACATTCATCCAGTGATGCTCGATTTTCCGTGGAAACTTCAGTCGTGTTGTGAGAATCTCGTAGCAAACGAGACAGGGTGGATCTTGGAATTTTGCCGCCATTAGGCTCCAAATAAATCTTGCGTTTCACTGCCTGTTTAGGAGCATTCGTTTCGGAAAACTGCCCTGCATCAGCGGCGTTGGCAAACATAATTTCATAAAACTGCCCCGTATTAGCGGAGTTGACAAACGCAAACGTTTTTGTACTACACTCCCACCGCCATCACTGTTCCGTCTTGCGCGTCTTGTCATGCGGCCATCTTGTTTACAATGTTGTAACTTGTAAGGCCACTTGTCTCAATCGACTTAACACACTTTGCTTTCAAAATAATGATAAAAATATATATTAACAGAAGCCTAGAAAAACAAAAATAATATAATCCGCCGATTTTTTAAATTGTTTTGGAGCATAGCGTTCGGAATCGCGAAATATTGTGGCACTGAAATACATTATCAAATCGTGTTTTTGTTTTTACAAACGCAAAGCCGAAGCCCGAGACAACATTCATTTCAATCCAAATCCAATCCGCACAGCTCGTTCCACTGTTGATTCGCACGTGAGCAAGCGCCGCTTTTGCGACTGATTTCTACAGTTGATCGTTGATTTCTACAGTAGTTTTTAATCTTTTGAGAGCAGTTCCAAGACCAGAATGTACGCACTTGCCCGGTTCGTGGATGACAACGACAACCGCTTTCACACTGTCCCCTGTTCTGACATTCAGAATTTTAAGCCTAAGAACGAAAGGGACTTTAACAGCAAAAAAATTTACACGTGTTTCTGGCTGGACGAGGCAGAACCAAGCAACACAGGAAACTATCCTATCCAAATTCTCCTGCTGGCACGTACGTATATTTTTATTCATGTATAGCAGGTATGTGTATAGAGCGTGTCACCTTTCACAGCCCGACGCCGATGGCATCGCGGTCTTGGCATCTGTTGTATGACGTACATGTGCTACATTCTAAAGTTATTTTACACCATCTCTGCGCGCATACGTTAATATGCCTAAACGTGCGTGAGCGAACCACGTGCGTGAATGGGCCAGAATGTGCGTGCACGAACGTGCATGTGCTAACGGCGTTCGAAGCGAGCTCCTGCGTGGCCGAGTGGCTAGCGTGCTTCGCTTTCGTGCGGAGGCCCCGGTTTCAATTCCTGGAAACGGCGCGTCTTTTATTTATTAATTTTTTTTTGTCGAAAGTGCAGCGCGTGCATGGCCGAGCGACTACCGTGCTTGGCTTTCGTGCTCCGCGCAAAAAGCCGCACGGTTCAATTCCCAAGAGCAGCGCGTCTTTTTTTGTTTGTTTTTTTGTTTCCAATTTAGTATTTTTGCAATTTCGAGAAGATCGAAGTACGAATGTTTTGCGTGCCGAACAATCTACGCCGAATGTTCCTGAAACTCACACGGGTACCGTGTGAGTTTCTTAGAACTTACCAACTTAGAAGTTGGTATAAGGGAGGGAAAATTCTCTTACAATGACGAAGCCTTAGTAAACACGACCTGTAATTGCCAGCTTTAAGAAAAATATCAAATTTACAAAGGGTTGCTGGACACAGTGGTTTATAAGCTTTTTCTTTTTTTTTAACACACAATTGTGGTTTGTGACACAATTATCACCTGGAGAGTGTCAGAAAATCATCTTTGGGCATGTCACACAGCTGATGAAACATTTCTTATATTCTACATACTCTGAGCTCTTTTTTGGCTGACTTAAAATCGTTCATTACTAGTAAGAGTCATATATTAATGTTTCTTTCGCATACTTGCCCTTGTCGCAGAGACTGAAGCCGAGCTCAATCGCCAAAGAGAGATTACAAGAGTCAAGATTCCTCGCCTGAATGACTCTGACAAAAGTGAAGAGGAAGATGATTTGGGGGTACAGAGGACGAGGGACAAACAAGTGAGCCTTCCACTTTTGAAGCAATGTAGAAAACTGCATTTTAGCCTGAAGCTATATGTAAAGTAACTTTTTGTTCAACAAGTGCACAATTTGTTTTTGTTTGCACCGCCAAAACCAGCACGCTCCCATCAGGACCATGATAGTTTTGGCTGGGCCTTATTAGCATGGAAACGCAGGCTATGAATGTGCTTTTGATGCACTACCGAACTTTGTGTGGAGGACAGGACGTACGGTGACAAACAAGAGACAAGCCCCGCACTCCTGATTTTATGAGCGGCATGTTGCCAAATAGAAATTTATTCTTTAAAATGGTGAACCTCGCATTTTTTTATGGTCTATTAACATTCTACCTACTTTTTATATCAAGGAATTGAAGAAAAAGAGGTCACACCAAGCAGTGGCAAGAAAACAACAGTTTGACAACATCCTCATACAACATCTTAAGCACTCCAGGAAGGAGAACACGGCGGCAGGAGCTTCCAACGTGTCTGGCAAGCATGGAGTAAGTATATTAGTTGTTTCTTTTTTTTTGTGGCAAAAGTATTACACTAATCTGAGTGAAAGCTAAGCAATGAATGCTGGTAATGCATTAAATTGAACAGGAAGAGTGCTTATTTATCCACCTTTCCAACAAAATCCTTGCCGACAACTGGTGCTAACATATGCACTTTTTTAAAATGGCAGGCCAAGAAGATTTCCATCGAGACGTCAGACTCTCACGAGGAAGTCATCCCTGCAAGCCAGGCCAAAATGCAGGTGAAAATGGCAAGCAGGGATGCCAAACACTGGCAAAAAAAATATGAACTCTCTCAACAAGAAGTGGGTCTACTCCGCGAGAGGATTGCCTACCTTGAGGCAACCGTCGACTCAAGGTTATTTTTTCGTAAGTACCTGTCCTGCACGAGTATACATACACCTCTTCATTGTGACATATGTGCACGGCCCATATGTGTGAAATATATGGAATCAATGTTCAGCATTTTAGCCATTGGATAATCAGCCATACACATAAGCATATCTGAACATGAACATGACGAGTTAGTTTTCTAGTTGCTTTGGCATCCAAGACAGGAATGTATAAATTTGTGCTTTAAGCAAAAAAAAAGACAATTTGTTAAAGTCATTGCAATAGATTCACAGTATATTTCTTTCTATAAAAGTGTCTAAGGGCGCGTTAATTGCTGTGTTGGTGAGTCTGGTAAGCGCATTTTCTGGCTCGCTACAGTTGCAAGTATGTGCTTGCCGGACTGATTACCGTAAATAGTGGAGGTGTCTACAGTGCTACTGGCATTCTGCTTTGTTTGGTTTGGTAGCTGATAGATAAAAAAGTTATATTCTTAAGCAGTGTTCGAATTATAAATATGCATTTATAAGGTAGAAATGTAATTATGCAACTTTTTTTCCTTCCAGTTCAACCTGTGCTGGAGCAAATAGTTCGTCAACATCAAGGTATTGTATAAGAAATGTTTTTCGTGGTGCAATGGCTGATGTTGACCAGTATGTTAAACTAACTACTTATGAGCTTAAGAAAGTACTGATACTTCTCTCTTTGCTACTTCACCCTGAGCTAGAGAAATTCAAGTCGTATAAGAAGTGTGACATCTGCACTAATTGCGCCGTTTTGATACAAACCCAATTTTCTGCGCCTAGTTGCGCCAAAACCGCAAAATCGGTCGAAATTGTGCCACACTGCACCAAAGTAACCAAAAAAAAAGTTTGCGGCGACGCTAGATTTAGCGAAAACCAGAGCTTGGTTGGCAACATTCAATCTTGTCGTAGTAAAGTACACGGCACGGGTTCAGGGTGGTGCAAGAAACCACCGTATTTAAAGATTTAAGCTGTAGTACCCTTCTATACCTATGATACGTAATCTTTTCCCGATTTTCCTACTGCTTTCCGGTGTCATTTGTGACTGCATGCTAACGGTGCGCTGTCACGCGATCTCGCTGTCTGGCCGTGGGAGGTATGATGCACAGGCTATCAAGATGAGCAAACATAAGTATTCTTTTCGTTTTGAAAGTAAACCTTTTCTAAAAAGTGCTATTGAGTGCCTCCATTGTGTAATTGTTCATTCGTGTCCGTAATCTCGTCAAAATGGACTTCGCCGTGAGTATCACACACGTGCTTCCAGTGCGTGAGCAATCGAATAAATAGGTCAGATATTTAGCGTGCATGTGGTGCTCATAGATTTTCTACCAATTCACTATTTACCTTGAGACTCACTTTTGTGGGGAGTCTTTTTTCTATCTGCACATGCTTTCTACGAGCGTCCAATTGACGTCTGGTTGTTGTAAACCATACTTCCCTGTTCATGCTCTTGAATCAACGCTTTAAAAAGTTTTGCACTACAATTGCGCTTTGGCACCAGTTCGTATAAGCTTGAGGTATCTGATGCCCACCTAAATGTGCTGCAAGCCTGTGTTCCCTGTCCTCATCTATGTGCATAAAACTCTCGTTTGCCTTTTGCGCTTTTATTTTATTTTTTATCGGTGCATATTGGCGCTGATGACTTATTGGAACCACGGTGGACAAAAATAATGATTAAAAAAAGAAAAATCTGATTTATGAGATTTATATCAGATCTTTTATGATTTTAATATCTGATAAGCTGCTCTAACATTTTCTGCTCCTAATCTGCTCCAAACTACAGACTTTTCTGCTCTGAAGTTGCTCCAAAATGCATAAACTGGTGCTTCAAAAGGAAAATTTTGTGCTCCTAAGCTGCTCCAAAATCCAGATTTTTCTGCTCGAAAAATTGCTCCAAAACCTGTTTCACCTGTCTCACCCCTGCATAGTGCAATGGTTTACATCACTATATGTGAATACTAGGTGGCAGCGACATCCAGGTTGCCAGCTTAAGTAAAGTTGATGCGGCAGGGCAAGCCAGGCAGCTGCCCGGGATGTCGCAAGCACAGACGAGCTCCAGCAAGGCAGATGCAGCAGGGCAAGCCAGGCAACACCCAAGGCAGTTGCTTGAGGTGCCACAAGAGCGTGCGAGTGCCGGTTAGCTAATCATTTATCTTGCTCGACAAAAAGATTGTTGAATTCATTTGCTCTTGACTTGTTCTCCAGTGCAGCAAATCAAGAATTTTTGTATTCATCTTTTTCTCTATGTATCCAAGCCAAACAAGTGCCAGCTGTAGCAGCCATGGACATTGGAGGTAACTAATCAAATCTTCCGACGACCACAAAACTGTTCAGATACTTAATTGATAAAGCCTTCCTTGAGATAATTCAATAATTTTCGAATCGACAGACGAACTGCAACATGCTGAACAAGCTGACTCGCCGGTGCCGGATGATCAACCAGCACAGCCAGAAGACTTTGCAGCCTGCATGGATGGACGTGTAAGTCTCTTCATTGTCCAACTTTAGC